TTTCATTGGTTCTGCATTCCATCATGGTAATTTTTGTTTTTACCCAACCGCTTTAGTAAAGAGGAAGGACTTCTACTTTGGGCCAGCTTTGTGCCCAGCCTGTGGCCAGGAAATATCTTCTACCAGAATGAAGAACATGGAAAGTCTTGTTAGGCAAATATGGTGGTTAGTGGAGAGGGAATCTCAACTGAGGAATTTCCTCTATCAGTATGGCCTGTGGCCATGTCTTTAAGGCATTTTCTTAATTGCTACTTGGTGTAGGAGAGCTCAGCCCACTGTGGGCTTTACAATCTCTAGACAGATTAGCCTAGACTGTATAAGAAAGTAATTGAGCAAGTCAGGGGAAACAAACCAGCTCTCCTCCTGGGTCTCTGATTCAGTTCCTCCTTGGCTTCTTTTTTAGTTAGGGTTTCTATTAGTATGGTAAAAAACCATGACCAAAGACAAACTGTGGAGAAAAGGTTGTGTAGTTACTTTTAAAAAATACATTTTAGGGGCCTGTCACCCAGCTCCCAGAGACTTATGAATGTCTGGCCTTAGCTTGACTTGTTTCTAGCCAGTATTTGTAAATTAAATTATCCCATTTCTCTTTAACTATGTTTTGCCTTTGGGCTTTTTAACCTTTCTTTATTCTATATATCTTTCTTTCCTTCTTTCTCTGTGGCTGGCTGTGTGGCTGGGTAGCTAGCCTCTGGCATCCTCTTCTACTTTTTCTCGATCCTCCCTCTTTTTTAGATTTCTCCCATTTATTCTCTCTGCAAGCCAGCCCTGCCTATTTCTCTCTCCTGCCTAGATGTGGAAGTTCAGCTCGTTATTAGACTGATCAGGTGTTTTAGATAGGCAAAGCAACACATCTTTACATCATTAAACAAATATTCTACAGCACAAACAAATGTAACACATTTTGAACTAACGTGTCACAACAGTTTGTTTCATCCTACAGCTTGTAGTCCATCATCTAGGGAAGTCAGGGCAGGAACGTAAGGCAGGATCTTGGAAGCAGGAACTGAAGTTGGGTCTTCCTCCATCAATCACTGTTTTAGTTAGAGTTTCTATTCCTATCAAGAGAAACAGAAATGCTTATAAGAAAAACATTAAATTGAGGTGCCTCACTTACAGTTTCAGAGGTTCAGTCCATTATCATCAAGGCAGAGAGCTTGGTGGCATGCAGGCAGACATGGTGTTGTCTACATCATGATCAGAAGGCAACAGGTAGTGTACTCAGTGTCACACTGAACGAAGTGTGACAAAAGTGTGACCAAAAATAACCTATCTAGCACAGGTTCCCTTAATTTATAAGTTAACAAAACCCATTTCCCTCCCTTAATTGTTTTTGGCCATGGTGTTTATTCACAGCAAGAAATAAAAACTAAAACAACAGATGACACGAAATTACCACCATCCAATCTAATCCTCACAGCAGTGGTGACTAGAATCCAATACTTGGGATGGATACTGAATTTTCTCACTGAATGACTCTGGAAGTTTGGAGGTTTGGAAAATGTCATATTTGTGCTTTGAATAAAAGACCATGGAAATCATTCTCTGTGTGCTTCTCTCTCTCTCTCTCTCTCTCTCTCTCTCTCTCTCTCTCTCTCTCTCTCTCTCTCTCTCTCTCTCTCTCCCTCTGTGTGTGTGTGTGTGTGTGTGAGCGCACACACATACACGTATCTGCTCTTGTAGGTACACATACGTGTGTGTGGGGTCATACACTGTTGAATTCATGCATGCATACATGTGTGTGTGTGGAGGGGTGTGTTTACAGATGTATGTGCATACATGGAGGCCGATGTCAATGGTGGGGTGTCTCGTTCTACTGCTGTTCACTGAGGCAGGGTCTTTTACTGAATCTAGCACTCACTGATTAGGTCAGAACACCTGGCCAGCAAGCCCTAAGGAATCCTTCTGTCTCACCCTTCACTTCAGGCTATAATTACAGGTATTACCCAATGTGTTGTGCCTGGCTTTTAAAGTGGGTGCTTGGGATCAAACTAAGGTCCTCATACTTTAGAACAAGTACTTTATCTACTAAATCAGACCCATTTTAAGTTCTTTGTTGCCACTTTTGGTATAGATTTTACTGTATGCTGTCCATGTGTAATGAAGAGTAACCCAGGTCAACAATCTTTAATTTAATGACTGAGTTAATAGTCTCATGACCACTACATCACTTGGAAGGTGCTTCCATAGATTTGGTTGTTATCACCTCCAAGACTCAGGGAACATTGCTAAAGAGAGGGAAGAAAGAATATTCAAACTCTAAGATAGGGAAAGGAGCTGCAAGATGCTATCTTTTGCACATGCAAGCATAAACGTCCAACGATTGCATATGGCTGCACAGGATCTGTACAAGAATGGGCCCATCAACAGTGCAGCGTGGATGGAGGGGCACAGGGGACTCTATCCCTCACTGTGGAACCATTCTTAATGGACAGATTCAGTGAGTGGACATTATTGCCTTCAGTTGTAAACATACTGGAGTTCTCTAACACACACCCCCCCCCCCCCGCTCCAATGGATAGTTCCAAATGCAGTGGTAATATAGATGACAGTGATTAGACTACATGAGTACCAAAATAAAACTAAAATGACTGGTACAGTGACTGATAGAGTGGGGTGGGGTTGAAAGGGATGTGGAGGGATAAGAGAAGGATGGGAGGAGAGAAATCAGAATGCATTATACATGTATTAAACTATCAAAGAACTAACTCAATTTTTAAAAGGAGATTCAGTTTTAAAAACAGCAGCATGGTATCTTATAAACATCCATTTATAGATTGGAATAAAATGGCAGCATACAAATAGCTGTGATTCCTAGGAGACAGAAAAGTCAATAATAAATCTACAGTGTAGCTTGATTCTCTTTATCACTCCTCCAGAAACTTAAAAAATTAAGTTCATTACAGGGACTCAAGAGACATGTTTCAAATATACTTTAAATTGGTATAAAAAAGCCTGTTTTTAAGATGCACTGACTGGAATGGAAACATTTTTATGACCAAGAAATCAACAACTCTCAGAATATGGTTAACAACACATTTTACAGGTCATGTATATTTTGGTCCTCAATCAAGGTTCACTGACAACTCAAAATTGTTTTGTTCTTCTTATAGGGAGTCATTTTGTATGAAATTACTCAAGGGTACAGTCATCTTACTCAAAAACATCCTGTGAGTCTTCAGTGAAGCAAATTTCGAGTGAGTAACACATGCAATTTTTTAAGTCGCCCCCAGACATTTTCAAGAACTCTCAGCCTTTGGTATTTGGAGATTGTCACAATTATTTCAATCATTTAAAAAAGTTTTCAGATTTTGTACCTTTCAGAAAATTATGTCCTGTAACTTTCGCTGGATATCTAGCAGTAAGGGCATTCCTCTAATTTGGCATTTGTAGTTGATCGACTCTCAATATCAAGATAACTATAATAATATTGCATGATTGTAATGTTACTGTCCATTTATGAAAAAAATATGCCCCATGTCCAAGCTAATTTGATATGACCCAGGTGCAGAGGGCACAGATTATAGAGTAATCCAAAGACATGCTATTTGAAAACTCTTTAGAGTTTAACATGCCTCTTTCAAAGCTGGTAAAACTTGTTGGGATGCTCACGGGTAAACCGAGAAAGGAAGACATGGAAATCTGAGTAGCTTGGAAAACAGCTTACTGTTCTGATGCGTATTTGTGGGCCACTTTGGGAAAACCGCTTAACAGCTCTGACACTTAGCTTTCCTATTTTTAAATGGAGACAAGATTTCACTCCAAGCTGGGTGTGGTGGCACACACCTGTAATCCCAGCACCGGGTGGGGGTGACTGGGTAGAGGTGGAGGCAGGGGTATTGGGAATTCCAAGTCATCTTTGGCTACATAGTGAGGCCAGCCTAGGGCACATGAAACTCTGTCTCAAAAACCAAACAGTCGGCCTTTAAGGAGTATTTATAGAGCTAGAGAAACAACCAATGTAAAGCCTTGCCTGTAACCACTTGCTTTGGTAGCCCAGAGTAGGCCCACAACGTGAATACATAAGGTTGAGGACCAAAAGTTCATTTTAAAAAAAATTATCACCAGGGACAAAAATGGGCTTTACTCAGACTTAACAATGGATGTGAATAATCATTGGTACCATCTTCTAATGCACCAGCTAATCTTAAGTAAGAGGAGTGTTGCAAGAGAATATTAATTATATGTCCCAGTTTTTAATCCATCTGAACCAACTATACTGGAGCATTGGCATTAACACATGACAAGCACCTCCCAAAGACAACAGTAGGCTAAGATTATATATAAAGGTTCCAATTCTTGGGTACAGAGACACTGGACCTCACCCCGAGGTTTCCATTTAAGAAATCTAGGTAGCTTCACAAATCTCCTTTGGTGGCCCAAACTGGTGTTAATGTGCTTTTGTTGTTGTTACTAAAGAGTTAGTTTGCCAAGGGTTAATACCTATCTTTCTACAGCATAATCAGAAAGGTTTCAAAATGTAGGTGTGCTTCAAGAATTTGTTTCAGACTTATGACTGGCTTCTAGTCCAAGACAGACACTGCACATATGAATACTGTTGCTATTTATAAAGTGACAACTATTTGACCCCAGAGTCTTGCTTCCCAAGCACAGCTGTGTGGTTTTGTCTTGCGGGGTGATTGAGAATGTCCCAGTCAGCCCGAAGCCACATGCCAACTTGGGATAAATCCATCTCAGTTTCCCTATCTAATGAGAATGCGTGTAATACTGACAGAGGACAGACAAGGACTATGAGGTAAGCAAGGAACCCCAAAGCTGCATCTTGGTATCTTTGTCTCATGACAGAATAGTCCTTTGTGGTTAACTATGCTTGAAGTTGCAGTTAAGTTATTTCTGATATACAAGAAACTAAGGCACAAGGGCCCTCTCTGGCACGTCTGCACCAAAGAAGGCTGCATATCCACAAAACACCTGATGTCATTACTATACCATTTGCGTTTATGGGGTGGTTTGGATTGTTGCTGTTGTTTCCATGTGAATTTCTTTTTTTTTTGTTGTTTTTTTTTTTACGAGACAGGGTAAATTTCTACGGTGACACACTAGCCATTTTTAGTTCATCAAATTTTCAGTTAGATTATTTGCTTGTTTATTTACTTGAGACAGAATCTTACTGTGTAGCCCAGTTAGGCCTCAAACTGACAAGAGACTCTCTTGCCTTTGCCTCCCAAGCACTACTACACTGGGCTTCAGCTCCCTTTCTTACACAGCTACCTTTCTTACACGGTCCAGGCCTGCCAGCCCATGGATTGCACAGCCCACACTGGCTTGGGCTTTCCTACATCAATCACTATCTTAGGTAGGTATTCTATTGCTGTAATAAGATACCATGACAGGCCAAGCACCTGGAAGCTGCACCTGGTACAGGGGGCATGGAGGAGTGCTGCTTACTGGCTTTCTCCCTTGTGGATTGTTCAGCCTGCTTTCTTATAGCACCCAGGACCACAAGCCCGGGAGTGGCACCACCCACAATGTGTGGGACCCTTCCATATCAATAAGAAAACACCCCAGGGGTCAATCTAGTAGTGGCTTTTTCTCAATTGGGGGTCCCTCTTCCCAAATGACTTCAAGTTTGTGTCAAGTTAATGAAAAACAACCAGCACAATTATTAATCAAGAAAATACCCACCACAGAGCAGCCTGAAGGAGGCAGTTACTTAACTGATGTTCCTTTTCCAATGTGCTGTCCAATGGCCTTTCCTGTGTCTCACAGCATCAAGCCTCAGCTGCCTGCATGCCATCAAAACCAGTACCACATGGGACTCTTATACATCACCAAGTTTGGCTGCCAGTTTGAGATGCTGCCTTGAGCCCCAGCTTCTGTGTGCTGACCACAGGTGAGTTTTGCCTGAATGACACCAGCTCCTTTCCATCCCAAGTCAGAAATGGTTTCTTTTCTATTGAAAAAGAAGTTTTCATACAATAAATTCCCATCAGTTTCCTCTTCCCTAATTCTTCTCAGATCCTCCCTACCAACCCAACTCCATGCCCTTTATTTCTCTTCCTTTAGAAAACAAACAGCTAAACAAAGAAATCAAACAAGAATTTTTTTTCAAAAAATGAAAGAACACACACACGCACACACACACTGGAAATTATAATATACAAGCAAAAGACAAAGACAAAAGAAATTCCTAAACAAGCAATGTGAGACAAAAAAATACATCTACTAAAATAAGAAGTTTGTTTGGTGTTGGTCCTGTGTGGTTAATATACCCAATTAGACACCACTGGAGGAAATTAACTTTTCCTTTGCAAGAGAGTGTCAACTACAGATAGCTTTTTGGTTAGGTTTGTAGGCAGTGTATATTCCATCCTCAGTCCGGGGTCCTCATCTGACTTGAACCTGGACAGGCTCTGTGAATGCTGAATGAGGCTGGTCTCTTGTTAGTCAGCTGATTTTTTTTAGTCTCTGCTAACCAGCTTCAGTTGTCCCAGCAAAACAAAGGTTTTATTTCTACAGATTCTTAACACAAAACATCACACAAATGGCCCTGATGGAGATTTTGCTTCCCTTTGAAACTTCACGAGCCAAGTCTTCAATTGTCTGCCTCTCTCAACATTCCTATCTTCCAAGATGATTAAGGTCTGAGAACTCAATAGCCCTTTTGAGTACAAAGCTCCAAAATCCTTGCACAATTCTTCCCAAAGCCAACATGGTCAGGTTCATCACAGCCCATTCCTGGTATTGACTTCTGTCTTATTTATCTTTCCTTTTGCTGTGAATAACACCTTGACCCCCCCCCCACTCTCAAAAAAGGAACTTGAGAAGAAAAGGCCTTGTTTGGTTTACAGGTTGTTGTCCATCATCTAGGGAAGCCTAGGCAGGAACTCAGGGCAAAACGGAGGCAGTGCCCAGGAAGGAATGCTGTGTACTGCTTTGTTCAGTTACCTTTCTTACACAGCCCAGGTCCACTTGCCCATGAATGGCACTGCCACAGACGTACACAGAGCAGCCCTATGGAGGCAACCATCCTTGGCTTCATAGCAAGTTGGAGGTCATCCTGGCCTACAAGAGACCAGGTTGGGGTGGCGGTATCTTATTGAGGTCTCATTCTCAATTGAGGTTTCTTCTACTCGTGTGACTCTAGTTTGTGTGAAGTTCAAAAGAATCAGCATACCTCCTGACTTGAGAAGTATCTACAGAAACAAACAAACAAAAAAAAGAAAACACTGAAAATTTGTAAAAGATCACTAGAACTCAGCTCTCCCAGAATATTCATTAAGTGCTAACCATCTTTTTAGATTATAGTTCTGCCTATATTGTCCCTGCCCCAAATATCTAATTGAAAGGTTCTTCCATTGTTCTTAGTTTTATAAATGGATTGGCCTAGAATTCCCCCAATGCGCCCCCAACCCCCACCCCACTGTCATGGCCCATGTACTGCATCCCAGGCTGACGTCTAACTTGCTAAGTAGCCAAGGATGATGTTGAGCTCCAGTTCTTCCGACTTCCACCCCCCCCAAATATTGGGCTTACTGGTGTGAGTCACCATGCCCAATTTATACCATACTGATATAAAAAACAGGGTTTCCCCCATAGGCCACACAGCATTTTACCATCTGAGTTAGAGCCTTGGCCCCTAGAAGTTTGTCTCCAGAATAAAACAGGCATTCCAACCGAAAACACAGCATAAATGGGTCATTAGATTTCCTCTTTATTCCACTCCATCAATTTTGTCTGCAAAGCCATGGAAAAGCACATGCTTATTATTGAAGGGCCACCTCACATTACCGTAATTGGCAGCGCCAATACGCTAGATGCAAAGAACCTGAACTTTAAAACTGTACAAGAGATGTGATCAGAGTGTTTTTAGTTGCACCAGGGTTTATTAGGCTACACAGCAAGAAACCTGCAGTTAAGCACTGTGCTGGTTAATTCAGGGAGTCGAAGATTAACAACACATTAATGACACAAGACAGCAAGTCTAAGGGCTATTTCATACTCAGAGCGTCATTGATGGTGATAAACTCCTTCGTATCGCGTTCCTACGCAGACTAAACAGTGCCTACGGAGGAGGGGGTTACTTCAACCCGCGTCAAAGTCTTTCATCTGGGCTATAGGGGATCCTTTTTCCAGAAATATCTTCTTTAGCTCCGGCTCTACAAAAACTTCCTATTGGTCAAGCGTGGATCACATGGTCATGCCTAACCCAATAATTGCAAGAGAAAAAATGATTGTGGCATTGGTTTAGATCTGTATTTCTCAGCTCTGCCTGCGTCTTGACGTCACCTGGAAGCCTTGGAAAGAAAATTACAATGCCTGGCAACAGTGTGTCTCCAATATTCCCCAGCTGTTCCAAATGTATCACCGAAGTGACTGCTACTGTATCAGCCTAATTAAGTTCCTAAGTTCCACTACTGCTTGCACCCTAGTGGGAGTTCCATTCTGCGGGGGAGGAAGAGCAAACATGGGAACAAAACCTAGGCTTTGACACCGAGGGTGCAAAATGGGTCTACAGCAACAGCAACTGGGGAAACTGAGGCAAGAGGATCTCTTACGCTCAAGAGTTCCAGACCAGCCTGGGCAACACAGCAAGACTTGTCACAAAACAAAACAAAAATCTGACTGATAAGGATAAGGTTAGGGTCTAACTGGTTAGATTGTCATGTGCAAGTATTTTGACACATTTCAGTTTCCAAGTTTTTTGTGGCAGTGTCCTCCTAGGTAAAAATCAGGATGTGTGCCACCTCTATTGCATACTAGTTTTATCACGGTATGCAGAAGGCTCCAACTTGCTTGCTTAGTGCTCTGCCATCTTGGAAGCCAGGAATAATGTACATCCTCTGCTTGATGTTTCTAGCCTCTAGCACTCAGGAGGACCAATATTTATTGCATGAATGAATAAATGAGAGAATTAATAGGAAATGCCTAATATTAAGCATTTACTCAGCATTTATATACCAGGTACTAAACAAAGCCATGCACACTGAATTCTTTACTTACTCCTTATACAGTAGGAGCCACTCTTATCTTCCACTTAAGTATGACAAAACTATTTCACAAAGACTAATTACTTGTCCAAGGTCACACACCAGAAAGTGGCAATCACCGGACTGGGCCTCACAGAGAATAAATTACAGAGTTCACTGAGTTCCTCATCTTTTTTTACCCAAGAGGGCAAAGGGTAGGTCATTTGTGCAAGAAGAGACCTCTCCTGTGGATCCTAACCCAAAAGAGAGAGCTGCAGGACTGCTACTATGCTCACAATCTCTCTCTCTCTCTCTTTCTCTCTCTCTCTCCCTCTCCCTCTCTCTCTCTCTCTCTCTCTCACACACACACACACACACACACACACACACACACGAGAGAGAGAGAGCAGACATGTGATATATATATATATATATATAGATAGATAGATAGATAGATACATCATCCTTGGATTTTAGAGAGGAGGGCAGAGAAAGAGACACTGACCTGTGTGTGACATGAGGACAGAAATGAATAGAAACAAAAGAATCCACCCACCACAAAGATTAGAGCATGGAGTGGAACTTTCCGTTCATGAACAAGAAAAACCAAAATACTTCAGCCATGGCTTACACGTGACAAGCAATTACCTGTGCTTCAGAGCTGCCCCTGCCATTTGCAGAGAACACTACCATCTACTGCCCACATCCCTGGAGAATCAGAGTTCCAATTCTGGCTTATGGACTATATTATCTTAGATACAAGTCATCATTTGGCCATTTTCCTCAAACCTGTCCCTCCTCTTCCTAGCCCCCCATCTGGCCAGTGTAGCTATCAGTCACCCAGCTCCTTATGCTACAAAACCTGGAGGTCTACCAAGATTCCTCCCTCCCTCCCCTCCTGCATATCCAATTGGCATCTGAGTTTTATGGATTCGATTTCATAAATCTGCAACCTGTTCATTCATTCATTAAATATTCATTGTGTGCCAGGAGTATACAATGATGAACTGGATGAGACACCCCCAACCTCCAGCTTCAAGAAGCTTACCATCTTAATGGGGGCATCTTGCAAATGAGCAACCCATTCTACAGCAGAGCAGTAAATGCAAGAAACAGGTAAGGAGACTGCTGGGAGGAACCCTGGAGAAGGATATGATTCCTCTAGGGAAGCCTGGGGCAGGGGGTGTTGTCTTGGAAGTGCCCAAGTGGAAATGTGAAAGATGTATGCCTTGTACCTGGTGAGAGGAGTGGGGAGGGGGAGTGCAAATTTCTGGAAACAAGAACAGACTAGTGTGGGAAATCAGGCAGTTCACTAAAACTGCAGGGATTCACCTCACTGCCGCTCTGCTCTGCTCTCCGGCCAGGTCCTGACTTAGTAACTACACTGTCCAGTGGCTTTGCATTCAGGAAGAAACCAGTCAGCACCACCCTCTCTGTCGCTGGAGGTCTATGCTGCAAGTCTCCCATCTCCTCCGGGTCATTCACTCGGGGAGTATTTACTGAACACCCTCTCTGTGCAGGTACCCTGTTAACAGCGGCCTCCGTGGTGCTTCTACTCTTCAGGAGATTTTGAGCTACTGAGGACAGACCGTGAGGGAGCAATTCAAGAGTGCTGGAAACTGACTCATAAGATGTTAACGACCCTTTAAAGACCCATCTGCCTTGCTGCCCACTGCTCAATTGGGGCCTCCAGGCCTGCTACCTGCTGGTCCTTTCGGAAGGATGACCGAGTGTTCTATTCACTGCCCGGAATGTCTCCTCCCCTCGCCCAAGGCCACTGCCCGACTCCAGCCAGCTCCAACACCGCGTCCTTCTCGCGTGGCCATACTCATCGGCGTGCAGCTCCGCCGAGGGGGCTGATGCGCGCGCGCGGCCAGGCAGTTCCTGGGGGCAGACGCCATCCAGCCTCCCCGGCGCCTGGTGACTACCCCAGAGCAGCCATCTCCCTAAGAGACCCCCAGGCTCCGGTCGGAGAGCGCGCGCCAGGGGTGACAGCCCCGCGCACACGTGGGCGCAGCCTGGAAGCCGCAGGGACCCTTTCACATGGGGACGAGAGGGGACGTTCTGCAGGAAGACCTCGGTCGGGGGCTCTTGCTCCCCGCCCACACCCCTCCCGGAGCCCCAGAGGGGACAGGCGGGGACGAGCCTTGGCGGGGACGCGCGCCTCCATCGCCACTACCGAGGTCCCCGCAGTGGCGCGGGGTGGCCGGAGGAGGGGCCGAGGGCGGGGCGGTCATAGCCTCCGCCACTCCCGCCCCCCCCCAGTGGCGGAGCGCCGCCTCCCCGGCTGTCCTCCCCCACCGCCCGCGCCCCGCCCGCCCGGGAGCCTCGCCCTCCGCCACGATGAGCAAATGAGCGCGAGCGAGGGCATGAAATTTCAATTCCACTCTGGGGAGAAAGTGCTGTGCTTCGAGCCTGACCCCACCAAGGCGCGAGTGCTGTACGATGCCAAGGTGCCGCCGCGGGGGGACAGGGAGGAGGCGTGGGTCTGCCCCCCCCGCCCCGGGGATGGGAGGCAAAGTGGGCCAGCGGCGGGCAAGTGGCTCTGAGCCCTGGACAGTCATCAGGGTGCTCCTCGACCTGCGCGGAGCTGCCCGGGACGGCAGGGGACGCTGACGAGACGCTTTCCGTGCAGGACTGCCCTAACTAGGAAGGGTCCGCGACACTTCCGTTTCTACTTCCGCTTCCGGCCGTGTTGCGTCGCTGACGCGTGGTTGCTAGGCCGAGATGGCGCTTTGGTCGCTGGGCGCCAATTCCGGCGCCTGGTGTAGGACTGTCGCCTGAGGCCTCTGCTTTTGCGATAAGTCTCTCCTTGTCCTACGCGGTTCAGCGCCGCGTGGGCTCCCTAGAGGACACCCTGACCAATTGACCCACCCACGTCCTCAACCCTGGCCTCAGATATTGGCAGCTGTCAGCTGGCGACATCATGGTCCCGGGGACCCCCGGAGTCGAGTTTAGGCATTTAACTCTCACCCTGGGGGAGGGAAGGGCTCAAGGTTGCTCAGTCGCTTTACCATTTGATTATTTTTAAGGATTTGTAGAAGAGCGACAGAGCTAGGAAAGAATCGAGTGTCGCCTGTTTTCAGCTCAGTCAGCCGGGGCTGAGCCTAAATCTTAGTTGTCAGTTTTTAAGTGGAGGGCAGGAGAGGGCACTTGAGTGCTCCGGAGCCCCAAGAGGGTGAAAATCAGCGCGCTGGGGGTCGGGGCGAGCGTCAGTGTTTCCAGCCACCAAGGCGAAGTCCTTGGTGGCGGAGACAGCTTGGAACAGCCCCAGGTGCGTCTTTATTAGTGTTTAAACGGTGCTGTCCTGTGGGCCACCCCAAGATCTGGGCTGGCATATATATCTTAGGTCTCTCCTGCAACTCTTATCTCTGTTTAAATTCCACTCCAATCCCTCCAGCTTTCTGTGTCGCTGGGGGAGGGAAGGACTTGCGGTTTCATTTGTACCAGACATCCCCTCCGGGGATGCAGGGCTATTAGGGGGGATGGGGGAGAGTTGTGAAGTCTCTTGACTCGCTTGACTGGACACTGGACTAGGCAAGGCCAGGGTGACTACAAATCCCAGAGGTCTCAGGGCTGCTCTTTCTAGTCTGGGTCCTAGCTAATGACAAATCTACCGACCAATGGCTTCAGAAGCTTCACCCGGTCTCAAACTCAAGAGACCAATCGTGGGTTGGTTGGACGGATGTTTCCTATTTTGAGGTAACCAACCACTCAGGCAAAAGGAAAAAATGTTGAAGAATGTTGCAACCCTGCTCTCGATCTAAAAAGGGAACAATTTTTTTCCTTTTCCTTTAAAAAAGGACTGTGATCTAGTTTTTTTTTAACCTAACTTATAATTATTGGTTTGTTGTGCCACTGGTGAGCAGTATTTCCTGGTTTCAGATCGTCGATGTTATTGTCGGGAAAGACGAAAAAGGAAGAAAGATTCCAGAATATCTGATACATTTTAATGGTTGGAACAGAAGGTGAGTGAACTTGTTACAACCAAACTAAATATTCATCGCCTTTGTAGCATACTAATTTTGTAACTTTAACTTTTAGAAACACTTGTAGAAAAGTTTAATTTCCTGCTTCTGCTTTGTTTGTAAAGCGTTCGTATTCTGAGACATGATTATTTTAAAGTTTGTGATGTTTGGATTACCCGTGAATAATCATTGGGAATCCTGGTAACCATAACTGAGTTCCCTTTGTGCTTTATTGACACCCTCTTAGTGATTTTGAAACCTTTATATAGCTTTCTAAAATGTCAGCAACTCTGGGGCACATCTTCACAATGCTTTTTAGCATGAGTTTCATTTGTTTCAGAATACTGACTTTTACATCCTCTTCCTTTTTTCAAATAGTTGGGATAGATGGGCAGCCGAAGATCATGTGCTTCGTGATACAGATGAAAATCGGCGGTTACAGCGTAAATTGGCCAAAAAAGCAGTAGCTCGCCTGTAAGGATACAAACACTTTGATTAAAGTGTTATTCAGTATGGTTTTTTTTTTACTGTTTTGGACTTTTATGATACAAAAGTCATAAAATGACAGATTTCAGTAATCTTAACTATTTAAAGTAAATGAAGAGTTTCTGTAGTATTCTGAAGAATTTTAGATGTTTTCCAGAATGACTTTTGTCCATTTGGTAGTGGGCATTGCCATTGTGTTTCTCGAGTTTCATTTAATAATTATTGGTTTTCATGTCCCGTGTGGACTCCAACCCCTATACCAGCCTGAAATTTTATTTTAATTGTGTTTATGTTTTTCAGGAGAGGTGCAGGAGGAAAGAAGAGGCGCTGTCGGTTGCCTGGTGTCGACTCTGTCTTAAAAAGTGTGCCAATTAAAGAAACTGCTCAAAATGACGAGAACTGTGAGTGTCTTCACTTTATTTTCCTCAACTAAAACCATTTTCATATAATCTTTTTATACCTCAAGATTGAGAGAGTCACTGAAATTATAGGCAGAAAAAACAGTGCAAACTCACAATGTACAGATGTTCTCCAGTTTAAGATTTTGTTGACTTTATGATGGTATGCAAATATGCTATTTTCTTGTTCCAATTTCAGTACAATATTCAATAAAATGCATGAGATATTTAACACTACCGTAAGGTAAGCTTTGTTTCAATGAGTTTGCCCAATCGTAAGCCAATGTAAGTGTTCTGAGTACATTTAGAATACTCAGCTATGATATGCAATAGGCTACCTATATCTTCATCAGCTTAGGTGTAACCGCATCATAAGTGAAGGAGCATCTTTGTAATATGCACTCCGTTTATTTTACATGATTACAGTAGCAGTTAATATGAGCAGTCAGCATGTCGGTAAGACTCCGTGACCGCCTTCATCTCAGCCAGCCAGCCCGCACAGATCCTTTCTCACAGTCCATTTTCTTCTTGATACCTCCAGGGCCTTGCCACCACTTATGAATCCAACAGTGAACCATAGGATCCTAGCTGGTGAAACACTTTCAGATCATTAGCTCGTGTGATTTTTGTATCCATTGAAATTGGAGTTATATTTATCAAAATAAGTTTCTGTTCCGAAAGGTACAGTATTTGTGTTTAGGATTTAAAATGTATGCAGAACTACAGACATTCTTCTTAGTCAAGTGCATGCACCACCTAAAAATTTGTAAATGTAAGGATTGCCAAAGTGTATAATGTGCGTTTGCCTGACATTTTTGTTTTACATAGCAATAAGCAGTACCTGTCATGACAGCTGTGGAGAAAAGAATGAAGAAATAAAAGAACATCGTCAGCGCCGTATTAAAGTAAAGACTAAAGTGGTACAAAAAGATTTTATTATGCAAACTTTGTCTTTGGTATATATGGTAGTAACAATTCTCAGGTTAGGAATTCTTTTGAAAATTATACCTTTAAGACCAATATTATGAATTCTCTGTGACATTTTAAAAAAGACAGCCTTTGCTTATAGTCACTGTGTCAGCACCATTTATTCTTTGTACCCACAGAGTGTTTCCCCAAATTCTACATCTTTTTAAAATGTAAGATTGTGACTGTGTTTTTATAATGATTCATTTTTAATGGTGCATAACAGAGATTGGCTTCTACTTGCCTCCAAATTGGACATAAACCCCAACGGTAATTATAAATGAGAAAGAAACAAAAGTGAATTTGCAGTGTAGTTAATGCTGTGAGAAACACTTGAACATGTGGTATAGTATCTTTATGTCTTTGTCCTTTAGTAGAGGACATGTGGTATGATGTGACTGTTACTAAACTAGCTTGGTTGCATAGCAGACTCTTATGTGGTAGCCTCTCCCACTGTTCACATTAATTAAAAATGGAATTGTGATATTTCAGAAAAAAAAAGTATTGTCACTGCGCTCAAGAAAGGACATGGATGAAAGAACAATAACCATAGATATTCCTGAAGTTCTTAAGAAGCAGCTTGAGGATGACTGTTACTATATCAACAGGAGGAAACGGGTATGCCAGAGGAATGGATTGTTTGGGATGCTGCATTTTGTGCTCACAGTGTCAAACACTAGGCACCATGGAGGGATGGTAGCTTCATTGCCAGTTTTGTACTTAGTCCAGTGTTGTTGGTTGTTTTAGCTCTTTGACTCTTTGCAGGGCCTGCCACCCAGCTCCCAAATAAATACACACACAGAGTGTTTTTCTTTCTTATAAATGCCTGGCCTTAGCTTGACTTATTTCTAGCCAGCTTTTCTTAAATTATCCTGTCTACCTTTTTTTTTTTTTTTGGTTTTTATGAGACAGGGTTTCTCTGTATTGTTTTGGAGGCTGTAGGTCAAGCTGGGCCTCGAACTCACAGAGATCCGCTTGCCTCTGCTTCCCAAGTGCTGGGATTAAAGGCGTGTGCCACCACCGCCCGGCTCCTGTCTACCTTTTGCCTTTCTCTATTTCTGAATGTCTTTGTTTACTTCTTACAATGTGGCTGGCTGTGTCGCTGTGTGGCTGGCCCCTGGAGCCTTCCTCCTTCTCGTGCTCCTAGATCTCTCCTCCCAGATTTCTCCTCCAATTTGTCTGCTAACTCCATCTATCCTTTCTCCTGCCTTGCTATTGGCCATTCAGCTGTTTATTAGGCCAATCAGGTGTTTTAGACTGGCAGAGTAACACAGCTTCACAGAGTTAAACAAATGCAACATAAAAGAACGCAGCACATCTTTGCATTATTAAACATATATGGCACAGCATAAACAAATGTAACACATATTAAAATAAT